GATGGGCGGGAGTTAGGGCAGGGTTCTTCAGAGTACGGGTCGCCAGCTGATGTTCAGTGGGTCGCCACATAATGGTAATGATGATTATGATAATAGTGATAGTTATAATAGTAATGATAACAGTGATAATAATTAACATGATTTTTTATTATTATTATTATTATTATTATTATTATTATTATTATATTATTATTATTATTATTATTATGTGTGTGTGTGCGCGCGCGGCGCGCGCGTGTGTTTCTGTATGTATGTGTCTGTCTGTCTATATATATATGTATATATATATATATATATATATATATATATATATATGTGTGTGTGTGTGTGTGTGTGTGTGTGTGTGTGTGTGTGTGTGTGTGTGTGTGTGTGTGTGTGATACATACATATGTAAATATTAAATATTTATAATATAAATAAATAGATATACGTACACACACACACACACACATATATATACATACTGATATCGGATTGAGAGAAAGGTACGATAGAATGGACATTCTGGGTCGCCAAGGAAGCGAATAAAATCAAACTAGGTCGTGATGAAAAAATAGAACCCAGGAGTCGATCGGTCAAAACAAGGGATAAAAGCCTTGAGTAGGTATGTTTGTGCTTTGGGGCTGGGAGTAAATTGGTTGCTTTTGGATGTGCAAGGTTTTGGATAACTAGCTAAACCGATATTCAGTTCCTTCCAACAGGAATAACTTTAGCGATTTTTAAAATTACGTCCATTACACCGTTGGAATATACAAGGCGCAATATACTTCGAGGACAATAGGAATTATTGCTATTATTGTTACTATTGTCCACCCTTATAATTATTTTTTATCATTGTTATCATTACAGATACAATGTAATATATGTTATCAGTTACATTATCATAATCTTCAGTATCATTATAACAAATGCTCCATTTTCGTTACAGTTACGATTATAACTACCCTCCCCCTTATCGATACTGTTGTTATTACTATTACTGTTTTTTTTCTAATATTATCATCACTTAATTTCTTGCCGTCAAAAATGCGCCTTGTATATCGTATCACACTTACGGCGGTTCGCTAATGCTGATAAAATGATAAACCAGGAAAGAGAAGATCCTAAGAAAATGACAAAAAGATGTGAATGGAATAAGACAAATATCATAAATTCCAGTCACATAATATAACCAGGAATGCCAGAAAGTATTATAACCAAAATAGACTGCATTGATTATTCTCAACACAACCCGTAATGGAACACCACAACACAAACCTGAAATATGGAAGACATGTACGACAGGATGGCGGTGATCCCGGAGAACTGAGTGAGGAGGAAAACGCCGAGGACAATGAGGAAAGGCTTCAGGTTGTGTGGCTTCAGGAGGTCCTTCGCCGACGCTTTCCTCTGGCGTGACTCCTCGAGGGACTCCTTCAGGACCTGGAGTTCGTCGGATGCGTCGTAGTCTTTACCTGGTGGGAAGGGTGCGAAGGAGAGACGAAAGGATAGATGGTGATAATGAGGGGGACGTTAAGGGTGAAGATGATGTCAATAGTAATAGTAATAATGATGACTGGTAACTGTATTAAGATGATGGTTGTAATACCAGGAAATGACAGTAACGATGATAATAAGTATAATGATTTTGACAAACTGCTTTGGTTTATTTGTTCATGAGGGATTTTTTTTCTTTGATCCTACAAAGTAGCAAATTCAAATTGAAAGTTTCTAACCCGGATCTAATAACGCATTTCCCCGTGTCTAACATAAATCCTGATGCAGATATCCTATATATCCTGAAATCCATAGTTTTCAATCATCATTATCATCATAGTATAAAGTTCGCCGCTGTAAAAAAGATCAATGCAATGATGACGAAGCCAACAATACCTCTGAAAAACCTTAACGACGCAGCTGCCTCGTCCTCCTTCCCTTTAGAGACGAGATAAAGAGGAGACTCCTTCAGGAACAAGACGGCGACGAAGGTCAGAACCGGGAGTCCCGCGAACACCCCGGCGAGAATCCTCCACGAAGATATAGCGGCCCCGAGGACATACACCGAGAGGATCCCCGTGGTGACCATCACCTGGAAAACACTGCCTTTTCCACCGGTGGCAGTTTGGGTCGTTAGGAGATGGGCTGGGGACTGTGACGAGGTGTTTGGTGATTATGCAATGGATGGTGGGGCTATTAAGAGGGTTTGATTTGATGCTGTTTGGGGTCTTTTGTTTCTTTATGTTCTTTAGGTTTGGATTTTTATTATTGTTATATGTATATATATTCTCTCTCTCTCTCTCTCTCTCTCTCTCTCTCTCTCTCTCTCTCTCTCTCTCTCTCTCTCTCTCTCTCTCTCTCTCTCTCTCTCTCTCTCTCTCTCTCTCTCTCCCTCTCCCTCTCCCTCTCCCTCTCTCCCTCTCTCCCTCTCTCTCTCTCTCTCCATTTCACGTGCAGGGATAGACACCAACCTTAAAACGAATATCACCCAAGGGAAAAAACGCCAATCTTACACAACCACCCCTCTGTCAACCTCAGTCGCACGTCCCTCCCCAACCGCCGGCGTCGACTGACTCACCGAGCAGCCCGCGGATGTCCGGCGATGCGATCTCTCCGACGAAGGTGGGGACGGCGATGCTGACGGCGCCGGCGGCCAGTCCGCAGGCGAGGCGGCCGGCCAGGAGCATGGCCACGTCTCGCGCCAGAGCTGGGGCGAGAAGGGGCAGCGTGCATGGACACATTAGGTAAGTGATTCTATACATATACATACGCAAGCGCAAACACATACATGCATGCATAAAAAAAAAACATATACCGTGTGTGGGGTGAGATACACACACACACACACATATATATATATACATATATATATATATATATATATATATATATATATATATATATTACATATATATGCATATGTGTGTGTGTGGTGTGTACATACATCTATGTATATGTGGACAGATAGCCACAATCATTGTATACATGTATATATAGACAAACAGAGAGACAGATAGATTAACATATATATAAATGCTTTTGCGTATAAATGTATTTGTACATATGTATGTATATGTGTATATATGTATACACACACACACAACACATATATACATATATACATACATACATACATATATATATATATATATATATATATATATATATATATATATATTGCAAAAAGATTTGAATACTGTCGCATAAAATTATTCATGAAACATGACCTCTACGCCATATACGATTTATGCAAAGGCAGAGGGAGCACGAGAAACGCCCAAAAAGCACAATCCTTTGCTGTTAGTCTTAGATAATAAACAAAAACAAAAACAATATCCAGAATAAAAAGCTTCCCGGCATCAGCCTCACTCTGCGCCAAGGTTCTACTCGTGTGTCTTTATCTACCACAAATCTCCTTTTAATCTACTTTCTTCTATCTTCATCACCCGTGGGCCACCCCGAATGTATCCACTCATCACCAATCATCACAACTACCCCTTATATTCACTTACGTACATAAATTCTTCACCAAAATAGCCTTTTTGGGTCCTTCGTCGCATAGGCCACATATATAGAGATCACCTGATCTCATTAGTACTTTTTGTGTTATTCCGGCGACAGACATACACCAAGTGACAAACCAATGGCCTCAGAATTGATATGTAAACAAAGATATAAGAGACACGACCTTCCTCTAATTGGCCAGTGTATTAAAGCGAGAACATTAAATGACATTATATGATATGCATCACATATGACAGCGTTGTCGAAACATTTTCGCCTAATGTACCGTTTATTACCTTCTTGTACTGTAACGTAACCCCCCCCTCCACCATGGCTAAACAAACCTTTTTATTTAGGATAATGCAAAAAATATATACCAATGAAAAGACTGCATTGCCGGAGTGTTGGTCAACAAATTCGAATTTAGTATACGAATAAAAAAGATGAATCATAGAACATGTGATGTTTCTGTTTGTTTGTGTGTGTGTGTGTGTGTGTGTGTGTGTGTGTGTGTGTGTGTGTGTGTGTGTGTGTGTGTGTGTGTGTGTGTGTGTGTGTGTGTGTGTGTGTGTGTGTTTCTTGTTTGTTACCCTTATAATCTAGAGGTAAATTGGACAATACTGACCTGTGAAATATATGCAATGCGGTTCATAAAACAGTATAATCCATACAAGAAAACGTGTATAGCATAAAACGACGACTCCATTGCTCACCGATCATGAGCCACCCGAGGAAGAACACGGGCGAGAAAACCAGGATGACGCCCTTTCTCCCGACGAAGTCCACGCCCGCGCCCGCCATCAGCCCGCCCGCCACGCCGCCCAGGGAGGGACTCGACGACACCCAGTTGAATTGGCTCAGCGTGACGGTCAGGTCATCTGAGGTCGAATTGGCCATCATGCGAGGTCCTGCCGGCGAGCTGTAGCCGAGGGTCGCGCCCATGCTGAGGGCTCCCGTGCACACTGAAGGAGGGAGAGGCGGGTGAGGGAGAGGGAGGGAGATGACGGGAGAGGGAGATAAGGGGAGGGAGAAGAGGTTAGAAGCAAGGGAGAGGGAGATGAAGGGAGGGGAAAGATGAAGGGAGAGGGGATAAAGGGAGGGAAGATGAAGGTAGGTTAGAGGCAAGGGAGAGGGAGATAAAAGGAGGGAAGAAAGATTTGAGTCAAGGTAGGGAGAAGATAAAGGAAGAAGGAGATAAAGGGAGGGAGGAGAGGTTAGAGGCAAGGCAAAGGGAGATAACGTGAGGTGTAGATGACAGGAGAGGGAGGAGAGGATATAGGCAAGGGAGAGGGAGATGGAGGGAGGGGCAAGGTGAAGGAAGAGAGAGATTAAGGGTGGGAGGAGAGGTTAGAGGTAAGGGAGAGGCGGGTGATGGAGGGGGAAGATGAAAGGAGAGGGAGATAAAGGGAGGGAGGAGAGGTTCGAGGCAAGGGAGAGTGGAGATGAAGGAAGAGGGAAGGTGAGCAAAAGGGAGCTGGGTAGAAGGTGAAGGATTTGGAAGAAAAAGGGTAGAGAAATAGAGAAAATGGAAAAAGGAGAAGAGTAGAAAAGGAGGGAAAGAATGAAGAAATAAAGAGAAGAATGAAAGAATGCTCTAAAACAAAATAGACGTCTGTATGTCTGCCATAACATCATAACCGTAATTATAGATATTCATAAGTGAAGAGTAATATTCTTATTTCCACCAATAATTAAGTAGAACATCCAGGTAACTTACCGGCCAAAGTAGCGAGGTACTGAGTGGTGTGAGATGGTACCTTGGTATCTGGTACGTTGCTTGGTGGCATGTTGTCTCTTGTGAAGCCAAGCGATAAATGAAAATCTAATCTGGGAGGAGTTTCTAAAAGGGAAAATAATTTGATATTGATGTCCATAGAACGCATGCTGTATCTCCCGGAAATGTAAAAAAAAGTGTGTATATATATATGTGTATATATATATATATATATATATATATATATATATATATATATATATATATATATATATATATATATATATATATACACACATATATACCTACTAAAATGGATGAATAGATAGATATAACAGAGAAACAGATAGATGTATAGACAGATAAATATAAATAATCATAAGTGTCTGTCTGTCTGTCTGTCTGTCTCTCTCTCTCTCTCTCTCTCTCTCTCTCTCTCTCTCTCTCTCTCTCTCTCTCTCTCTCTCTCTCTCTCTCTCTCTCTCTCACTCTCTCTCTCTCTCTCTCTCTCTCTCTCTCTCTCTCTCTCTCTCTCTCTCTCTCTTCTTCTCCTTCCTTCTCTCAAACCGTCTCGTTTGATATTTTCTGTGAATCAAAAAACACTTTTTGTTCTATTTGCTGCTATGATCCAATGCATATGCTTACGGTACCTCTATACCACTAAATATACAATGTATTCCTACTACAACACCAATAAAACTTCATACTTATGTTACTTATGTGGCTCTGACAGTATGGAACACCACTTGTTTTCCTGATGGTTCTTCTTACAGCGGTTGGTCACCGTCTGGCACGAGGCAGAGACAGAGACAGAGGTGACAAGTTTATGGGAAAAAAATGTTATAACAACAACGAAGCAGGGTCGGCTCGGAAAGTCATAACAGGAAAAGAAATCGTAACAGAGTGAGGCATATATAAGTGCGTATATAAGTGCGATAATGGATCGTGTTGTAGTGATATTGAAGAGGATGAGATAGAATTACAAGACGAGCTGTTGAAAATCGCAATCAGGTTTATATCTCTCAAAACAAGAATCCAAAGAAAATTGTTATGACGAAGACTACATTAATAGGAGGAAATAATGATAGCATAAATAGTACTAAAGTATTACAACTGGCTATTGCAACGTTGTGATAATATACATACGTAACAAGGGAAGTTCTCGGCCTTGGGCAGTGGTTCCCAACCTTTCCTATTCCGTGGCGCCCAAAGAAGATATAAATATCTCCATCTTTTCAAATTCAGTTTTTTTCTATTCATGAATAGTGTACTTGCGTCACTTGTAATAGGACGAAAACACTTCACGGGGATTTCAGTGTATCGATATGTGTAGGTACTATAGACGAGATAAAATTCTGTATAATTCGACACCAAACTTTTCATATTGTTGGGAACACTGGTCTTGAGGAATAACAACACGTTTGCGTTTGAAGTATTGTTAAAAATTTTGTCCACACGCGTTTGAGGGTAAACGTGTCATATGGATAGAGTGATATAGAAGTATATACAAATCTGCTGAAGAATATACACTGGACAATAGTATATGACAACCAGGGGCACAACTAGGAATTTTGGAGGGCAGGGGTCCAGGCCACAAAAAGGGCACAATATGAATTTTATTTATAGGGGATATAGACCGAATTATGTTCTCCAGATTTAAAAACGGAAGAAATGTGACAAGAATCTTAATGATAATAATTAATTGCAATGAACCAAACAATAATACAATACACAGTCTCATCGCCATTCCAAGATCAAGAGAAAGAAAGTGCCCTAGAAAAAGGACCCCCAGCCCCCCCCTGAAAACAACGAGCGCAGAAGATGTGGTTATCCAATTGCAAACAAGGCGGTTCGACATTTTCCTCGTTTCTGTCTGTCTCTTTCTTCACCCATCTCTCGCCTGCTCTTTCTACCATATACTCTTCCCATAATTAATCAACTGTAATTATTATTACCATAGTCAATATTGTTATTGTTATTGTTATAGCTATAGTTATTCTATTACTGATATTATAATAATAATTATTATTATTATTACTTGTATTATTATTTGTATCATTATTGTTACCATTATTATCATTATTAGTAATATTATCTTCATCATTCTCATTATCATCATAATTCTCATGATTAATATAATCATTATTATCATCAACAGTGTCTCTATATATGTATAATCATTATTATCATCAACAGTGTTATAACATAATTTCCTCTACAGTATCGCCAAACACAAGGTAAGGTAACTCTACTGTAGATACCGCAACCATTAGAGTCAGCATCATCACCAACACCATCACTACCAAATTCACTGATCTCACCATCTTCACTCACCATTACTGACACCACACTCACCATCAGCCACTGCACTCACCAGTAAAAGCAAAACCTACACGTCACCGTTAAATTTTACTCTCAAGTGACACGAATAATTTAGCAACGTGTCCGCCAATGAGTGATCTGTTCAGTCAATACACTCATACTCCGTTTATCGTAAACCTGGTGTAACAATACCTCTTATTAAGGGCTTGTGAATACAATCTTACGTTATCTTTGCGTGGTTAATGGTTTATGTGGTCTGAGAGAGACAAAAATCGTGATTCTATTGTGTTTTTACATCCATGATCACCACCATTTATATGAATGTTTCTATGATTAATTATGATATTTATCAGCATTATCATCATTTTCATTGTTTGCATTGTATCATTATCATTGTTATCATTATCATTACTATTGTTATTTCTTATTATTATTGCTATTGTTACTGTTATTATTAGCATTTTATCATTATCATTGTAATTATTATTACCATAGTCAATATTGTTATTGTTCTTGTTATAGCTATAGTTATTCTATCATTACTGATATTATTATTATCATTATTATTATTTATTGTCATTATCATTTTTATTATCATTGTTATCATTATCATTATCATATGTTTTAATTATCATTATTATATATACTTTTATTATTATTTGTACCATTATTGTTACCATTATTATCATTATTAGTAATATTATCTTCATCATTCTCATTATCATCATAATTCTCATGATTAATATGATCATTATTATCATCAACAATGTGTATATATATGTATATAATATATATATATATATATATATATATTATATGTATATACCCCCCACATACACACACACACACACACACACACACACACACACACACACACACACACACACACACACAACACACACACACACACACAACCACACACACACATAGATATATAGATAGATAGAGATAGTAGATAGATATAGATAGATTAGATAGATACTACATATACATTTTATCAATAAAAAAGCAGCACAGGATTTGATTATATGAATGTAGTTGCAAGGTCAAGTCAGTTTACTTTAATCCCCTATTGTCTATTCCCATTTTTTTTTTTTTTTTTAAATTTTTTTTCCTTTTAAAATGCTCAAATTTCAAGTATTTGTGGTTATTTGTGAAGTGAGTTGGTCTAAAAAATACTCAAATAATTCATCCCGAGGATTATCGAGAATTTTTTTGTCTGTTTTATGGTAAAGTAGTGCATTTCATGTGGATCCTGTAAGGTAACAACGGATAACAGCCTATTTTTTAAAAATTTACGATGATTTAATGTTTTTTAAACGCCTCTGAATTTTTTTGGAAATCCCTCGTACGCTATTTTGGGTAGTGAAATGCCCCTCGCACATATGCACACACACACACACACACACACACACACACACACACACACACACACACACACACACACACACACACACACACACACACACACACACACATACATATGTACTGTATATATATATATATATATATATATATATATATATTTATATATATATATATACAGGCCTGAAACTTGCTCACCCTATAGCCTCGCTTCAGGATTTCCGCAACTGTGCTTCTTTCTACGTACGTCTGGAAACACCCTGACGAATTGTATCAGTAAATTTAGTTTCAATTTCATTTGTTACAGTGGATATTCTCTGCTGTGACATACTGTCTGATTTATTTCGCTTCTAAATCTCCCCCTGTGTGCAGGGAATGGCCGGGGTTTCCGTCCACTGGTAGCGCGCAGGATCGAACGCAGTATGTGTGTTATATTATGTTTATTCTTTATTCATTCATTTAGTCACTTCTGAACTTTCTCTTTAAAGAGCACGGTTCCTATTGTGTAAAGTCAACATGAGTGGAATGTACTGTAAAAAATACTGCATGTGAAAGCCCGTAGCCCGTTTTGGAATGTGAATGGGTTGTATAGTAACGATGGTGTCAAAGAAGCGGCCGTTACTGTTAACCGCCAATTCTCCGCGTATATGTGGAATGTTTTTCTTTCTTGTATAACAAGGCGTGACTCCGAATGTAAGGGCCACGAAATTGGGTTTATGAAAGTGTATAGCAGATTTTTTAATAGTTGTATTTAAGATGTTTATAGTATTCCTTCAGTTGATAAAATTTACGGCTGTCTCCTCTCTGGTAGGCTGTAGGCAGAGAGTTAAGAGTTGAAGTCAGAAGTTTTGCTATCGTAGGCGACTTCGTGCTCACCATAGAGAGTGGCTAGGATTTGTGACCGATACAGACGTCCATAGTCGAACTGCCTGTAATTGGCTTGTTCCGTTAGGTGTTGGATTCTCCCACTCAGATTCATGACCGCGTATTCACTTACGTTTCAGGTACTGTAAGAATTTCTCCCGACTCTATTCCTTGTGAAATTGTACTCCTGGGTAGTGTTCTTCTTAGGTGTGTACCCAAGGGACAGACTAGGAGTAGGGTGAATAACAGGACACGGTGCAATAGGACATGTACTAAAGCTAACTGATCAAAGGCACTGGTTTTCCGGCACTGCAGAGATGTTTTATGAATGTAGCTTGTCGAGTGATTTGGTTGTATGTCGGTAGCGTTTATTTATTTACTTTTACCATTTTACTATTTACGTTTACTATTACCAGTGTAATAGGTATTATTTAACAGTCTGTACTTTTTGTTTTTCATCTCCCTCTGCTCTCTACTATCAGAATTTATCTAGATTTGCTGTGCCCTTCTTTCTCTACCCTGACGGTATGGAGGGGTATGAACTGAATAAGGATATATCTAAATGTACAAGATATTCTTACCACCCAGTGAATATTCTATTATACAAAACATGAATAAATTATCACTTTTGACTTGAAATACTGTCATAAAGAGGGGGCATAAATCGCGCGCAAATATACTCTCTCACGTATTTCATGTACTATTTCAATGCTAATCACCGATAATGGAGAATATTTACTCACTCCTTTTTGGACGGAAAGAATGAGTCGCAATATTAAATCGTAGAATGTGCAAGTAAGTGAACGAGATATTTTCTTTTCTTTCGTTCTTTCTTTCTCTCACTATCTTTATCTCTCTCTCTCTCTCTCTCTCTATCTATCTATCTATCTATATCTATTTATCTATCCCTACCTACCTACCTATCCATATATCTCTCATTTTTATTTCTCTATCTTTGTTTATATTTTCTTTTTATTTAATTATTCTCCCTCTTTTGTTATGCTCCTCTCTCCTCTCTCTCTCTCTCTCTCTCTCTCTCTCTCTCTCTCTCTCTCTCTCTCTCTCTTCTCTCTTCTCTCTCTCTCTCTCTCTCTCTCTCTCTCTCTCTCTCTCTCTCTCTCTCTCTCTTGTCTGTGTGTTTGTTTTTTACTTTTCATTTATCAGCAATAAAGAAATGTGGGGTAATAGATGAATCCGAAGCCTCTTTTAATTTTAAAGAGGTGTAGAAATATAGAAGTGTATATCAGCTGTTTATTGTTTTTGTCACCTTCACAAGGGCACCCAATGTGTGATTAAGCCATTTAGAAAAGGTATGAATGAGAATGAATATGTTCACAATACAGGATATGTACTGTGAAGATATTCATTATCTTTCATACCTTTTCTATATTTGTTAACATAAATACAGTTCGTGTTTAAGCCAATTCTTCTTATGTTGCTTAATATTCATGATGTTATTCTCTTTTTATACCTCTCTACCTTCTCGTCTGTTTCTCGATCTCTCTTTTTAATTTATTTCTATCTCTTTCTTTTTCTTCCTTTTCTCTCTCTTCATCTGCTTTCTGCCTGACTCTTCCCTTATTTGTCTGTTTCCTTTACAGTCTTTTGCTTTCTCCATCTCTCAATGCCTCCTCTTTATTTTATTTATCCCCCCCCCCCCTCTCTCTCTCTCTCTCTCTCTCTCTCTCTTTCTCTCTCTCTCTCTCTCTCTCTCTCTCTCTCTCTCTCTCTCTCTCTCTCTCTCTCTCTCTCTCTCTCTCTCTCTAATAACATTAATACATATAATTGCATTCAGATATTTTGCCCATGATGCTTGTGTACTAAGATTTTTTTCAAATATTTTATATACCAAGCTTTGTGCAACAGACTGGAAATCACATTAACGTTTAATAGAAACAACATCCCCTATATACGCGTGTGTTTGTGTGTGTTTGTATACTGAAAAGAGAGAAGCTACTTTAAATGAACTGTTTATGATAAATAGATTGGTAAATATTTGCACAGATAGACAATAATTTCTCTTTCCTTGTCATATGTTAAATATTTTCACAGTTATAGATTTATTTTTCTTTTTATGGCATTTGTTAAATATTTACACATATAGACGTCTTTTTTTTAAATGTCATGTATTCATTATCTACATCGATAGACGCAGACGCATATTTTTCTTTCTATGTTGTGCGTTAAAGTTATACAAAGATAGACACTTATTTTCCTTTTTACGCCATGTGTTTAAGACCAATCTTCAAAATATATACTTTACCTTATTTCACTCAGTGAAATACGCACCAAAAGGATAATCTTTTAAGGAATACACCAAAATCAGACTTACAAAAATATTTATCAGTTCTGAATATTGGTCCAATATACAATTTTCTACCATCGAGCCCAAAGCCGACCAAACTTTGTTTACTAACAGCTACTGAGCATATACAGGGGTCAGTTAGTGTGTCTTGCCTGCTCCGTTCACTTCCAAATTAACACTGAACTGCTTCTAAGAACAGATATGAACTTGATGGCAGGAAGACACAGAAAGCTGAAGCTAGGAATGCTACTAGGAATGCTACTGCTATTATTTCGAAACACAACTCTGAGCTATTGAGATTCTGGTTTTTACATTTTTTTACAACTCTCGGGAAATATACTGGTTAAAATGTACACAAATGTAGGTGTGGTTTGTATTAATCTGCCTATATCTGTCCTGAATTTTTAACTAATGTAACACAGAATAACTATTGTAGTTTCCCCTTAATATACGCCAAGAATGTAATAGGTACCTTTGTTTTTGTTTTTCTTATCTGATTATCTTACATCAATCTTTCATAAAACTACACAATAGACAACGAATAAGAATATTATTGCAATTTCCCCATTCAACGATTCTGACAGACTCCTCCTCTTCGTTCCATGGCATTTTCTCCTTCGTTCCATGACATATCTCGTCCGGGAATCGCTCAGAGTTCCCAGACCTTAATCCTTCTTCTCAGGCTTCCAGTTCGGGTCAAAGTTCTTCTTGAGGCCCTGCCAGCACTCGAAGTAGCCGGCGTCCACCTTGCGGCAGGTGTCCTCGCCCCACTCCGTCAGCGCCAGGCCCAGGCTCGTCTCGAACATGAACGACTGCGGAAAGAGACAAGACAAGGTACTGTCCGTGTTATGGGGATCTTAAGATATCGCTGTACGGAAACGAATGGGCAGTCGGTATCCGTATGATAAATTGCGGATGGTGTCTAATACTGACTTTAATGATTGATAAAAATTGATAATACTGGTTAATCTTGTATTGGTCTCGTCATATTCACTGCTAACATCGCCATCATACCCCAACCTTCATCACCGTCATTACACGACATAACGAGATTTCTTCCTTACGAATCCCTCAACGCAAATCCCCAAGCTTTACCTGCGTGCCGTCCGCTACCCTGACAGGCTTGAGCTCGCCCTTGGAAGCTCCCTCGAAGCACTGGACGTCGGGACCGTGTGGCACCATCATGGAGTGCAAGGAGGCGCCCCCTGGCCTAAACTTCCTCCTTGGCCTCGTAGTTGCCGAAGATCAGGCCCATGAACTCGCTCATGCAGTTCCCTGAAGAAAAAAAATCTTTGCTGGAGCTTCAGGTTGTCTAAAGGTTTCTTCCGTTATAAGATGGTAGACTTTACTTCTCTTCTCGAATTCATTTTATTCCTAAAACTTCTGTGTATATGAGACATTTTGAATATCCCTCCAAATACAAAATAAACATAAAATAAACGGTTAGCAAACGCAAAATATATATAAATAATAATATAATAATAATAATAATAAATGACTCTTCTCTCCCTTTTGGAAGCGAGTGACGGACCAGTGAGACGACAAGGACCAACCCCAAAGACCAACAGAACCCCGCAGACCCTCGCACGTGACCCAGATACTGACGGTGGTAGTAGGGCGGGCGGAACGTGTGCTCCTGAACGGCCCAGCGCGGAGGGAAGATGACGAAGTCGGCGATGGCGACGCCCGGCTTCGTGCTGGGGCAGGTCAGCACCGTGAAGATGGACGGGTCCTGGGGAGGAGGCCTGGCTTAGGGGCTTGCGCTTGCATGGAGGGGGTGGGGGGTTGTTATGGACGCTCTCAGAGGGGGGGTTGGGACGCTCTCAGAGGGGGGGGGGCTTGTTATGAACGCCCTCAGGGGGGGGGGCTTGTTATGAACGCTCTCAGAGGGGGGGGGGTTTGTTATGAACGCTCTCTTGTTGCTAATGAGAAAGCTATAAAACAGTTAACCATTTAAAGATTCCTATACACAAAACAAATCAATGTACATACATATCTATACATATATATATATATATATATATATATATATTATAGTATATATACATATACATAAGTACATATAAATATATATACACATATACATACGTATATATAAATATATACACATACATATAAATTCCAAAAATTACATCATACACATCAAAACCATCATACAACTGTCAATCTTTACGACCTTACGAAGAACAAAACCTTTCGACAGACTCACAGCGTGATCAAAGGCCGTTGCGTTGATAACCATGAAGTTCTTGAGGTTGTACTTGTAGGGGACGTAGTTGCCGTGCCAAGCCACCACGTCGAAGGGAGAATGCCCCTGGAGTGCCTCGAACAGGTGGCCCTTGGGACAGGAGGTTGAGGGTGACGTGAGCGTTATTTGGGAAGTGAGAGTGCCTGGCAGTGCTAGTTCAAGCTGTCTGACAAGTACTATCTTTACAGTTTATACGGATCTATAATTCATACTACAGTTACTACAACACACGCACACGCACACGCACACGCACACGCACACACACACACACACACACACACACACACACACACACCACACACACACACACACACACACACACACACACACACACACACACACACACACACACACACACACACACACGTATACTGGCAAACATATTCTGACACTACATATAAACACAAAATACTTCATACGCTTGTACACACGATACACCTGGATCCACAAACAAAAAATTCTACCTGCCTTTACCACCAACAAGGAAGCCAGAATACCTGTATTATGACCAATAAATATAAGTAGTGTTACAAGAAGACAAGACTACCTGGTACTTGGTAATGATGCGGTAGTTAGCGACCTCCCTGTCCTCATACCAGGCAACGGGCGTCAGGAAGTCTCGTGGATTAGCCAAGCCGTTGGCACCTGAAGGAGACACGATGATAATGATAATGATAATGATAACGATAATGATGGTGATGGTGACGATTCCGATGGTGGTCTTAATTATCATGATAATAATGTTACTTATATCGTAGGCAATGGAAACGAAACTGTTACTACTGATCTTACTGATGATGGTAATAATATTTACAATGATGATAGTATTTATAGTACTATAATAAGAAAATAATAGTAATAATAATGTTATCTATAATAACTAATAACGTTATCTTTAATAACAGTAATAATAATATGTTTGATAAAAGTTATAATAATGCTATTTATAATAACAGTAATAATAATATTATCTATAATAACAGTAATAATAATATTTATTATAATAACAGTAATAATGATTCTATTTATTATAATAGAAGTAAAAATGATAGTAACAAAATAACAAAATTAATCAGAACCCACTATAACCTTTCTTAGACTCCAAGACAGTTTCGAAACCTAACCACAAAGTCATTCTTAGTGGGATTCTTTGACCATGAGTGTCTAAGAATTAGAGAGTCAATCGGTGTCTTGTAAAAAACGAATCCTTAACTCTATTCTTTTATTGATTCAGAAATTAAATTGATTTAAAAATGCAGTATCGGAAGGAAAAGATTTAGGTCATAATGAATGAAACCTTTTTGGATTTTTTATTCCTGCTGTTAGTAAGTTCTAGAACAGCTTGGGCAATGACATACTTTAGTTAAATGATATTCAAAAATACACGAAATTTAATAATGATAACAACAACAACAATAATAATAATAATAACGATAATAACAATAAAATAAGAACAATAATAATGATAACAGCAACATCAGAATATCATTAAGATGACGAAGCAACAAAGAAGCTGATAAGATTATTAAAACAATCATCAACAAACATTTACTTAGCACCTGTTATAACGACGAAGAATGCAATTTAAAGTTTAAAAAAATAAATAACATGCTATGCGAAGCTTACCATGCTGATGTGTAACCATGTTGGAGATCTCGGAATCAAACATTATGCTTTAAAGAGGGTTAAAGCTGCCAGTTCCTGTAGGAGTGAGTATATTATTCCCGTTTTTTTAGTTTTCTTATGGTTATTTGTTCTTAAATTAGTCATAATGTGAACATGCAATCACCGGCCTCTGTGTAGTTTGAATTACGTATTTTCTTAATCCGAAACAGCAAACATATGTATATAAATATATATTTTTTTCTTTACTGTTTTCTTCTTGGAATTAGCAACTAGCTTCGGAAATACTGGAATATATTACACAGAGACCAGCCATAAAATTCTATTGAATGGTGATGGCCAGACCCTAGACATAATTTTCTCCCTTGCTCGTTCCTTTCAAGACTTACTCTAAGGTATCAATGGATAAATCAGTTAATCAATAAATGAATTGAATTTGATTTTTGACGATGACCGCCCTTCAACTGCCGCCGCCGCCACAACACAACAGAAAATCGGGAAAAGCGCGGGAAACCTTGATGCCTTGATGATACGTTCACTTTCACTCTATAAATAAAAACAATTTATGTATTTTATTCAGTGGTTCTCTTTCTTTGATTTGTTATCTCTCATTCAGTCATTCATATCTGTATTCCTCCTTCCTTTTTTATTATTTCCTATTTATTTATCTCCTTTACTCGATCATTCATTCTCTCTTGATTATCTCATACATTCATTATCTTATCTCTGTCACTCTCTCCCTCACTTTTTCTATTTCTGTGTCTCTCATTCTTTTATTTTCTCTTTCCCTTCCCTTTTTCTGTCTGTGGCACGGACGGTAGGAATCAATGGCTCCTTGTCCTTTTCTGGATCTGAAAACGCGTTCAATCTCAAGATAAAAAAAATAAATAAATAAAAACTGGCAACTCAGACACTGGAGGACTCCGATTACCCTTCTCTTTTATTATTCGAACCAAATGACAAATTACTCTAACCACTATTATTTACTAGTTGCCAATTTTTTCCTTTACTGAGACTGGACGGAGTGGAGGTCTGACGCACCTCAGATTCTTCTAGATCTTCGCCTCAAAGATCAAGGAGATATGATGCGGTAAACGTCCATTCCACGTCTGACATGCTGGGGGAAGGCTAGAGCAGTAGCAACTCAAGGTGGTGTCATGGCGTCTGATTCTTTTTTTGGGAAAAAAAAGCACATGGGGTTTATTTTGATGACGTCACAAAAGTTACGGATGCTTTGTGAACATTGTCGATCATTTTGGTCTTTTCAATTTTCCAAAAGGACAGAAAATAATTATTTTGACGGCTATATTTTCATTGAATAGGTAGGTAGGTTGGTAGATAGGTAGATAGATAGGTAGGTAGGCAGGTAGTAGGTAAGTAGGTATGTTGATAGATAGGTAGACACCTCGAGTTGCTACTGATCTAGTCTTCCCCATAGATGCAGCGTCGACCTACTGTGACGTCATCAAATTTCAAATTTGTTCTTGTGTTCGGGCGCAGTTAACGGGCGTGGATTATAATCAGCAAATGACACCAACGAATGTATTTCGAAAGAATAGAAATAGACTGGCCATCACAATTAATGTAAGCTGTAACTCGATAGTGTTAGTTCCTTGTCCTATCAAATGTTATGAAAAAATTAAGCAACTTTACTACATGTATACACATTAGTACACTAATCTGCAATATAATTACTTAAGAGTAGTAACTGCCATTGTACCACCGTATTCCGTTTTATAAAGCTAGTTATATTAGCACATAACTGAAATACAAACAAATACCCTAATTGCAATCACCAACATTCACTGAAAATCAAAAGAGAAAATATGGTTCATATTTTCTCTTGAAATTCAGAAACCCTAAGCACTAATGTTTTCGACAAGCATTAAACCCTGATTCCCGCCAACAACAAAATTCCCGATTTCAACCCTTTTTTTAGGTAGAAAACATACCAATGGGACCCAAGTTCGGCAGGATGAAGTGGCCGTCGTATACCTCGAGTATGTAGCCTCGAGTAGGACCTTGAACAGCCACGTTGAACCTCATTCCCGACTGAACCACGCAGATCTCATTGGGTCCCACTCGAAGGCGGCCGTACTCTGTGGTGACGTCTAGCACTCCCTGCTGTGGCACTGGAGAGAAGGGGGGGGGGGGTAGTAATAGATAATAATGCAGATAATGGTGATGGTAATAATTATGAAGATACGTGTGATGGTGGTGATGATGATAACAATACCAGCAGCAACAACAATAATATTAACAATGCTAATGAGAATGATAACATTAACAATCATTATGCTAATGAGAATAACATTAACAATAATCATGATGCTAATGAGAATAATAACATTAGCAAGAGTAATAATGCTAATAATAATAATAATATTGCCTCAATAATAATTTTTGATAATGATAATAATACTAATAATAACCATGATTATTTCCATATAAGTAAATTTTGGGGACGTTGTGGTCTTGCTTGTGCATATGCAAAACTGTTTACAACGTGGGAAAGCAACTCCCCCACATATTCCCCATTCTATAAGTGTAAACAAATGTATCAGAATATTTCACATCATCGACGGATAATCAATAAAAAGAAAACACAAATCATCGAACCTGACAACACCAATTTATCAACAACAGCAATCACCAACAAGAACCTCGAAGACGCCCGTTCTCCAACCTACCAATAAGAAAATCCCCGTCGCTGTTCTGGAAGGCGGCATCTCCCATTGACTTGTTGCAGGCGTAGATGTGGATGATGCAGCCGTGGCGGACAGTTGGGTCCCCTGCGCCGCACACGGTCCTCAGGCCCTCCACGAAGTCCGTCGGCTCCGAGGGAATGTCGAACGGGTTCCATCGCAGCTGTGCATGGGGGGGGGGGTCATAAATACATTCGTGCATATACATGTATTATGCTTAGAGTGTGTATAGTGTGGAGGGAGAGAGAGAGAGAGAGAGAGAGAGAGGAGAGAGAGAGAGAGAGAGAGAGAGAGAGAGAGAGAGAGAGAGAGAGAGAGAGAGTGTGTGTGTGTGTGTGTGTGTGTGTCTAAAGATAGACAGATAAATAGATCATGCCAAAATTCCCAAACAATAACTTAGTATGAAGACAATGCAAAGCGTACCTGGTTGGGATTCGGGTGCCGTTTGTCGAAGCTGCAGTCCAGGTACTTGTGCTTGATGGGCGCGAACGGCTTGTGGACACGGAGGGCCTGATCCTGTAGAACCAAGCTCTCTTGTTGGTCTCGCGAGGCGCTGAGGGCAGAGTCAGTCGAGCATTTCACACACTTCAGTTTAATTGAGTCACATGCTTGGGCAGAGCGACAGATCTATGCCATAGATACTGACAAATATAATATATATATATATATATAATATATATATATATATATATATATATGAACATAAAACCACGTCTAACAAGGGAACAAGGCAGTACGGAGACGCTATATTATCCAGACAATATCAAAACTGGAAAGAACAGCCAGACTCCCTCAGATGACCCACCCGTGAACGCAGTGCCGGAGAGCTGCTCAGCATAGAGGCCGTAGGGGCATACTTGCGGGTTGTTCTGTCCTTCGGGGAGAGCTCCTGGGAGGGCCTCGGTGGCGAACTCGGAGCCAAAGCCGCTCAGGTACTGGAATGCGGAGGAACGTGCGATCAAGGTCCGTTTTCTATCGCAAAGTATGATTAAATATAAGGATTTAAGGTTGGGTTTAAGGAGTTTCGATCTTGGTGGGTTAGGTTATATAGGACTTGGATAAGCTAGGATATCGCAAATTAAGTTCGGTTAGGATACATTAGGCATCAAAAAGACACAATATGAATATTGTGTATTAAGCGTTCTTGTTAGGTTGGGCTAAGTAGATTTGGCGGAGTTGAGGTAGGTTAGGCTTAATCTAAGACATTATAGATTAGGTGTGGCTGTGATGAATCAGGTTAGGACAAAAGACGATTGGAGAGATCAAGCCAGTATAAGACTAGGCAAAACCTTGACGTGGACCATGGGTGGACAATTTTTTTCAAAGTAAACTGCTCTTATCATACTGCTACCCCAGTATGGCCTACTTGCCTGAAATTCACTCGTAACACTTATTCTTGCTATCATTAATGCACGACTTTCATTCCAAAGAAGCTAGACTATAAACTGAAATCAAAACTAATTCACAGTACAGTTCATTGGCCCCAACCATGCTAATGACTATGGCTGACGTACGAATTCTTATGAATCACATATCTTACGATCTGTTATCGTACTTCTGTACTGACTTATACACACACACACAAATATATATATATACATATATATACATACACATGTATACATATACATATGTGTCATACATATACATATATATATATGAGAGAGAGGATCGACAGAGAGACAGACAGAGAGACGGAGAGAAACTCTTACAACTGTCAAAATCATGTGCCCACAGACTTGGACCACAAGCAGACGAAATCTTTTTTCTATCCCCTACAGTAGCACATAAGGCGTAATGTCTGTAGATCTTTTACATCTTTCGCATGTCCTATAGTAATAAAGAGCAGCATTTTTTTGTAGACACTGACACCTACTCCAGTTTGTTATGTATTATCATTATTATTTTATTATTAATTTACCTGCTTATTACTTGCTGTTCCTTTCTATATCAAAACATGTATTAAAAAATCTTTATAGACTAACAACTGCTCCAGTTTGTTTATGTCTTTTATTCTTCTTATTATTATTTCACTATTCATTTACCTGCTTATTACTTGCTGTTCCGGTTTTTATATACTTAACAGATGTTTGCGATTTATAACCGGCTGGATCTCATAAATGGAGTTCGATATTTCTAGTCCTTGAGCAGACAAAAACGCATTAAAAAAATAACTTGTTGTTGTGAAGCCTTAATCCCTTTGTATATTTCCAACCGTGGAAATTTCTTTTGAAGATGTTTGCTATTCAATTAACACCCCTTAAAAAAAAAAAAAAAAAAAAAAAAAAAAAAAAAAAAAACAGCGAAAAGAATGCACGAATTGACAAATATGTTATTAAATCTGGCCTTCCTGAACCGCATACACGAGTAGGCAGATTGCCTTTTGTTATCCTTGAGACTAGGTATGGATTTACCACCCATCTTCCATAGGTAAAGATGACATCGTTCATTTTAGCTCCTTTCCCATCCACCTTCTTCGTTATAAGCCTAGTTTGTGCATTGTTTTTTTGTTTTTGTTTTTTCTACCAAGCCTTTACCATCACCATCCCCATCGTTACTAACTTCATCAGGATAAGCCTAACTACCACTATCATCATCATAATCATCATCATCATCATCATCATCATCATCATCTTCACCAACAAACTCATCATTAAGACAAACACAAGTCCTGGCCTACGCCTCACCACCGCTGTCACCATCGTCATCACAACGCGCGCATCGCTTGGCATGGTGACAGCGCAAAAACACAATCACCCTGGAGTGCCAACCGACGTGCATCATACCCCGTCCACTGTGACCCTCTGGGCACATTTGCACCAGCTGTGCCACGTGCCAGACGCGCGCCGACACCCAGTCACGTGCTGTAGCGAACTTGTTTGTTAGAATTACTATCAAAGGTATATATATATATATATATATATATATATATATATATATATATATATATATATATAATATATTACACAGATACATGATATATATACATATATACAGACATCCATATATATATAATATATATATATATATATATATATTATTATATAGATAGATAGATAGATGTATATATATATAAATGCCACACACACACACACACACACACACACACACACAACACACACACACACACACACACACACACACACACACATTAGATAGATATAGTGTACATATGTATGTGTTAATAGTAATTGTGAAAATTATGACTAACATTGTCTTTATCATACTAATAATAACCCCAATCATCAATAACAAGAATTCGAACGACAAAAAATAAACCTTAAACAGACTAAACACCCCCCCCCAAAAAAAAAAAAAAAAAAAAAAAAAAGTCAAGGCCACCCAACGTAATAACTCGAGGGTTGGCAGCGGCCGTTGGAGCCTCAGCTGATCGTGGTCTCGCTGGCCTTGGCGATCGGCCGGAGGAGGACTTGCCAACAGGCGAATGGGGTCGTCAGGCAGAGAGGACTTGTTAGCGGTGCTTGTGACGAGATGAAAGCTTAATTGTGGCTTGTTCTTGTCTGCTGGAGGTGGCTTGGCTTTTGTTTTTGTTTCAATGTGATTATTAGGATTATTATCTTTGTTATTTTGATTCCATTCATAATCACTGCCATTTCAGGTATCAATTAACACCACCATTATTATCACTACTATTACCGTTGTTGTTGTTGCTGTAGTCATTATTTTCACATCATTATCATCATAATTACTATCATCTATCTTTATTATGATTATCATTAATATTTCCATTATCACAAATTCCTGTTGTCACTCGACATTCCTTTGAATTTATTTTTTTATTATTTTTATTTTTTATTTTTATTTCTTTTTTATTTATTTATTTTTCTTTTTTGCTCACAACAAAACCGATTCC